TTGATGACCCTGTGGTTTGGCACGTACGCCAGCCACAGTCCAGAAGGAGTTATAGAGTCACTGAAAGACTGGAAGCAATCGACAAACTTATTTGCTATGTCATAAGTGGAGAAATTCACTGAAAACTTGTTGTTGCCCACTGTCTTAAGGTCGTAGGCATGAGAGAAGAGGCCATGTAGTAAATTGTTGAGTTTCTTACCAAGGCCCAGCGTGCTAAGAGACTTCGGGGCAGACCCGGTATTGTCCGATGCACGTTCAGGACTGTANTGTTCAATATAGATGACAAAAGGTCCGCAGGTGTCCGGTCGGTATCGGTTTTGTACAAGTAAGCGCTGTGGTTCAGGAAGAGTGGATGGATTTCGCTTTCCTGGGGGGTCCCGGCCTTCAGAGGTTCGCTTGTGGAGGGACTTCCCACTAGAAGACCCTCCATTACGGCTAACCCCGGTAGGCGACGGGGGTATAAAGGCAGCCGGTACACTTTGCAGGTTAAGTTCCGACGACGTTGAGGGGTCGTCTTCCGGGAAGGGTATATCAGACGGATCTACTTCCATTTTCAACTGATAGCAGAGTGTGACAAAAGTAAAAAGATCAACCAGTAGGATTAGGTAGTAAGACTGATAAGAAAAAAAGAAAGATAAAGAAACTTAGAGGGCAAGATGGCCACTCGGCAACCGCGGGAACGCGTTGGAGGCCGGTGGGTTATTACTAAACTTACGGAGAAATCGGACAAGAAACAAAAGAAATAAGTACTTACTTAGTAAAAGCAAACTGAGACAAGCAAGCATGCACAGAACAAAACCTTCGCAATCAGGATAAAATAGGCAGGAATGCACTAAAAGCTAGGAGAGCGATGCGTCCCATGCGCGCGCAGAAGCCAGAATCCTAGGAAGGTTTGGTTGGTTTGGTCATAGACGTATAAGAAATAGACTGCGCGTGTGAGAGGGGAAGTGAGTCAAACTTCGGAGTGAGACAGAAGCTTTCACCCGAGTCTCTGTCTCTGTCTTTCAGCACCTGGAGTGGGGACTCCCCACTCGGAAGACAACTCCATAGAATGTCTATGCTGTCAATCGCCTACTGTCGCCCCTTCATCGCTCGATGCTCCTCTATTGCCCCACTACGCTATTTCTCATTCCTACTACTTTTCTTGTCCGCCAATCACCGCGTCACTAAACAAGGATAGAGACTCGGGTGAAAGCATCTATTCTCGTCCGAAGTTTGACCAGAGAGAAACCTGAGAGCGGCCATCCTAATGTAATTTTTTACGACGATTTCAGCCGCTGGTTTTAGCCGTATTTCCACAAAAGTGGAACTCAAAGGCCGTTCTACATTAAACGCAAGTAGCAGATCTCGTGGAATTGACCAATTGCAGAATCAAATCAGCCAATCGACCAACGTGATTGAT